ATACCGACATGTTTTCTTTTCTGAGTATAACTATGTGAAGAACAAATTGTAAATATAAATGTGCCATCTAACCCATCAACCAATACCTAATTGGAATAAAGTCATATTTGTAACTTTATTATCATATAAAAATGGCAAATGGTGCTCCAGAAACTGCATATCAATAGTACTTACCATAAAAATGAAATATTGCTTCATGAACAGCTTAATATAGTAATTTAGGGATTTAGTAGCTTATCATAACATATGAAGCTACAAAAAGTATTTACTTAATAGAACAATCTTTTTAAGACTGATGAATTCATCAGTCAGTGGCTTGCTTTAGATTACATATTTCAGTTCTGTTAAGCATGGGTTTAAAATCAGAAGACTAGAAGCAATGAAATAGTCAACTCTTTGGTGACTGCATATCGCTAACCAACAAATTCATTGGGTATTGAGAGGTGGCCTCTTGAGGCATGTCCAGATGAGTGCTCATGTGCATTTCCCCAGAGACAAACAGCAGTGGCATATATTTGTGCCACTGCTAGTTATTGCTGGGGAATGCTTGTGCACGCACACTCTGGCATGTGGCAAGTTACCTCCGGTGGGGTAGAGGAGGCTGGGGCCAGTACCAAGGCTGGCCCCAGCAGCTTTGCCTGGGATCCTGGGGGTATCCTGCAGCTTCAGTGGCAGTGATCCGGCACATGGAGCCTGCTCGGCTGGTACCATGTACACCACCCCACCTTTTTCAGGTGCAGGATTTTTGACACTGGGGTCTCCTGATGTCAAAAAAATTCAGGACACTGCAAATTAGAAACATGGTGAATGCCTGCATGAGTGGCACGTGTGATTTGTGGTGCCACAGATGGGTCTGTGTAGCTCTATACCCTACATACACACTTGTCTGGATGCACCCTTGGGGCGCATCGAGATGAGCCTGCACGAGTCACTCGCAGCATCTCAAAGCAGTTTGAGACACTGCAAGAGGCACGCTGGGAACAAAAAAAAAATCCCCTGCACTGCATATTTGCAGCGAGGCTCAAAAATTGGTACCTGGAAATCCAGGTATCAAAAAAATACCCGCAGAAAAAAAGTGGGGCAGGGCACAGTGCAGGACCATGCCCTGAGGCAACTGGAGGCTGGGGTCCTTCAAAGAGATGCTTTGGTAGCTAGCCAAAGCATCTCTATGGCTGCCCCTCCCCCCGGTGCTGTAGCACACTGCCTCCCCATGTGGGGCAAGGAGCGGTGCAGCCTGCAGCTTGGTTGGACCAGGCTTTGTCCCCAGGTAAGTAGGGACTAGGGGTGGGGGCTGGAGTGGGGGCTGTATGACTGCAAGGACTATGTGGGGGGAGGCTGTTCAGGAGGGGCGGGTCTCCCGCCTCCCCCTCAGATGGCTCACAGCCTCCCTACGGCAGCAGCGGCCATCAGGGCACTCAGGGCGCTCATGGCACAACCTCCCTCACCGCAGTGAGGGGCAGCATAGTTCAGCCTCAGCTGCTTGGTACCCAGCGCTGCCTGTGCCACATCACATGGGCTCATCCCAGCTTGCCATGGAGCTGTGTGCCTTTGGGAAGCTCCGAGCCACTTGTGCTGTCACCTGAGGCCCACCACCACTTGCAAGGACTGCGTGTCATGCCAGGGTGGGTGCTGGCTCCATGGGACCCGCACACCATCGGTCTGAGCCGGTTCCATGGAGGCAGGACCCAGCCTGGTATGACACGCGGTCCCTGTGAGCAGCACTGGGCCCTAGGTGACAGCCCGAGCGGCCCGGAGCTGCCTGAAGGTGCATGGCCCCATGCCATGCTGCATCGGGCTGGACCCACAACACATAGCACAGGCAGTACCGGGTCTGAATCGGCCGGGGCAGTGCCGCACCACAGAGGGCTCTGGCTGCAGCAGGCCCTGAGTACCCAATGGCCACTGATGCTGGGGTGGGGGTGGGGGGCTGTAGCTCCTGCAGGAGGGATCTGTGGCCTCTATGGGGTGCAGCTGTGGGCCTTGCAGGGGGGCTGTGGCTTTGCATGGGGGAGCTGTGTGCCCAATGGGGGGCAATCTGTGAGCTGTACAGGGTCCCTCCACATCTACAGTCCCCCCACAATCCACCCACAAACCCCACACCCCCAAGCTACCCCCACAAAACCCTCACACACCTACCTGGCCCTGTGGGTCAGGAGTGAGGGAATTGGGGGTCAGGGTGGGTGAGCTGTGAGTTGAGAGTGAGAGGCAAGGGCAAGGGCAGGGGCAGGGGCCGGGGCCAGGCACTGGCATATCAGTGCTGCTCAGCACCACATATTTTGATGAGTGAAAGGGTAGGGGCAGCTCTGATTTTTCTATGACAAAAAAAGTCAAAAGTAAATGCCAAAGTGTATAGATATTTAGAATTTGTTTTATTATGATGATAGAGGCACTGGTAGGCTTCCAAATTGCTTTAAACTTGTAAATATAGCAATACAACACTGTCCAACTGATATTTCTATATATAGTGGCATTTCATTTTAATATCAAAACAACACTATTTGGGGTATTTTAATAGGAGAATTTGGGCTTCTTATCAGAGAATTTGCAATTTTTAAACAGGGAACACCAGGATCTCTGCTGGTGTGACAAGTAGTGAGACCTGGGCCAAGGAGCCTGTCCAGGGCCAGCACTGAGGATGCATCTGGAGGGCAGACAAGGTGGCTGACCTCTTGGCAATTTGGGGCCAAGAGGATAAAATTTGACAGTTCAAAGCAGGCCACCACAAGGAGCACATCTGCTGGGTGATAGCTACCCAGATGGCAGATTGAGGCTTCTCCATCCAGGTCTGGTAGGAGCACAGCCATGAGGCTGCAGGGCCAAGGGGGCAGATGCTGTTGCAGGTGGCAACAGGTCACAACCAGGCAGCAGCCCCAACTGCCAGACTGCTGCAGGGATAGAGGGTGCAGGGGCCACTCCAGGTTAGGGCTGCTTCAGCAGTCCAGCTGGCACAAGGAGTAGTGTCCCCAGACACCAAGTGGCTTGGCCTGAGAAGCTCCTGAGGGCAGGTTTTTATATTACTGGGGCGAGCACAGATGCTGGCCCCAGGCTCTAGCTCTCCCTGGCCGCAGATCTGGGAAGAGCTGGGCAGGGTAATTTTGCCCCGTGGCACAACTTGCCCCACACTAAAGTGCATGCTCAGGCATGTGCGTTGAGGCAAAAATCTCCAGCACAAATTTGTGCCGCTCCTATTTGAGCTGCTGCAAGCACACATGCTTGCTTATGTGGATGCACCCTTGGTGTTTGTTTATGGATATATCACACCTTGGGAGTGATAAAATATTAGGATTTTATAGTGCAGTCCTTCAGTCATGCTAGTGTCCAGGCTCCATCTTGAAGTGCAAAGCAGAATCAGAGATTTTGTCAGTTAAGTGTACACACAAGGGATGTTTCTCTTCATTTATTACATTTTTCAGAAATGGCATTACTCAAGATCTTTTTGACAGGAATCTGTAGAATTTGGAAAGACATCTTCTATTGAACTTCTTTGGTAACACAAAAACTGAGCAGAAGTGGCAAAACTTGTAACATTATTTGTAACAACATTTTTCAACAAAAATTTTTTTTGTGAATGTGGGTCAAATTTGCTTGTTCGGGCTGAAGTGAAAATGATAATGTCTTGGCCGGGTAGAACCGACCGAGGGAAACGCTGGTTAATTAAGCGAACGTCAGGCAGGCTGGTGGATGGAGAGATGAGACAGAGTATTGGTTGCAAAATAATTTTTTACTTACGCCGCTGGTGGCCGCGACGCAGGCTGTAAAGGCTGCTTACGTAGTTGCAACGAGTTGCTTCAACTGGCAAGAACCCGAGCCAGTGAGTCCGCAGACGAACTGGGCATGCAGAGGAAAGGTACGTCGGGGATAAGCGCTCGGCGACAGGGAGAAAAATCGGTAGTTGATCAGGCTACTGATTCGCTCTGCCACGAGTCAGGAATTCTTTTAAGTCACTCTGCAGCGTGCTCAAAGTTCTCCGACTTGGGCAGAAGTCGCGTGGATTTTTATACGGCTAACGAGCCAATTACTAACCGGTAAGTAGGAATAATTTAGAATCAGCCAATAATGGGGTGCGATTTTACATACAAATGGCGGGAACCCTTTTGCACCAGAGTTTACTCTCTGCAGCAGAAAACTCCACCATGCAAAAAAGCTCTAGTGTGGCGGGAAAATTCCACTGTGCCGAGGCACTAAAAATCATTGGGTTATGACAGATAACATTTTTGTGAAGATGCTGAGATTTTTTAAATGCTTCATTTTCAGGCACTTGCAATAGAAGAAAGAAAAGGACAGTCTTGATTTTAAAACTTGCTAGGAATAGCAGGGCAGTATTGCTGTTCTTCTACCTAATAGTCAGAGGTAGAGCACTTATAGAAGATATGAGATACGCTGCTCCAATTCCCCATTCTGCTCAGGGTCTTTGAACACTCCCCTCCTGTGAGTTGTTCATCACCAAGCTGAATGGTATTCTGAAGCACTGTTCTCTCACTCCCTCATACTGAAAACTTTCATTTTGCATGAATTGATTAAATATTTGTTAGACCAAAGAGGAAGGATTGAGTAAGAAATAGTGCACAGCCCAGCGATTAGGCCACTGGGAGACTGATTCAGATCCTTGCCCTAAATCAGGCAATATGAATTTGAAACAGTCTCAGGATTGAAACACAGCCCTAAAACAGAGACATTATGATTTATTTTTTTCTGAATCTTACCAGCTATATTTTAAATGGGGATAATCATACTTGCTTTGTCTGTCTTTTCTATTTATATGCAAACTCCTCAGGAAACAGATTCTCTTAGTGAGTGTTTAGCACAGTGAAGCATGGTTCTTAGTTGGATCTGAACTGGAATTGTTTGAGTAACTGTAATATGAATAATGCTAATATGAATAAATAACAATGCATATTAGCAATAAGCAAAAAAAAACAAATTTAATGATAACAGACATTTTAAAATAATTTTCAACATAGGATTTTAAGGGCTTTATTCCCTACAAAACAAGAGGGCGTGATTCTGCATTTCACTGGGATGTATGTGAAATTGCCTTTAAACTAAATACTATATATGCACAATCCTATTTCAAATATTTCACTCAAACATGATTATTAATCAGTTTTAGTATACATTACAAACATTCTCATGATCAGTGAACCATCAGAGACATCTGATATGTAGAGAGGTGTTTTACAGAGTTTCTATGAGAGGTTTATGGTGTATAGTGTCTAAAGGAAAAGGATCTAGTTCAGAATCAAAACATATTTTGGCCAAAATTCATTCTGGGAATTGCTGGCTTTATCACTCACAACCTCATAAAAATAAATTGGATGTGCAGCTGCTCAAATCGCGCCTGCCTGAAAAAAAAAAAAAAAAGAGTATTATCTAAATTCTAGCATTGTATAACTTAAAACATAACTTGTGTTTTATGGGTTACAGCAATATTCTGAAGTGACAGTGTTGTGTCATTTAAGCACAGACTTATATAATTTTTTCCTTATAAAACTTAATAGAATGGCTTTAATGTTTAATGTAAAATCTCAATTCATAAAGTATGTTTATATAAGCATTCTGCTGAAGTATCTCCAGTCTGAATGGTAGAGCACTTACACTTTTATGTAGTGCCTGTCAGTGTTGCCAACCCAGTGAGTTAAAAAAAAACAGGACTCATCTCTACCTAAAATCAGAAAACTAAAAAAAAATTAAATAAAATTAAAAAAAAAAAAACACAAAACATTTTTTAAAGTGTTGAATAGCTAATTTGCCTTCTGAATCATGAAGTTATAAAAGGAAGCTACCTGCTTCCATGTATGAGTAAGCTTCCAAAAGTTAAAATCCAACTTTAAGTATACATGCCAAAATATGTCCTCCTCCTACACTGAGTTGGAGGAATTCCCTTTATGCTCTGTTCCTTTCAGGATGAGGAAATACCATACCATATTATCATGATCTATCGTCCACCCACATGCAGGCACCTAACCCTGCAGATCTTCAAAAGGAGACTGGACGCACACCTTGCTGGGGTTATTTGACCCTCACAATCTTTCCTGCCCAGAGCAGGGAGGCTAGACCCAGTGATCTCACAAGGTCCCTTCCAGCCCTAAAGCTTCTGAGAGTCTGTGAATCATTATCTTCAGTACACTCCTCAGTTATTTACTGTCTCCCGAACTCCAGTTCCCCTCCAGAAGCCCTCTGCCTCCTTCAGCACTCCTTCCCCCTCTCCCTTTGGAAACACTCGCATGCGTTAGTGACTCCCATCACCACACAATCATTACATTTGCCTTCTGCTGTCTTGTGCATCATTGATGTTATCTGTACTGCTCTTCTCAGTCTCTGCGTACTAGTAGTAGTATCTTTCCTAGACACTCAAAACTACTGAGTAGGAAGCTATGTCCATAGGGGGAAATGGCTGCAACTCAAGGTGGGGCCAAGGGGAGCACCATCTTTACTAAAAACCATGGGATTTCCATATGCAGAGAGACTCCAGGGTAATATTGGGCCGCCTGCTGACCTCTCTGGCATTAGTAGAAGACAGTAGAATACAGGAGGCCATATAGTGTTTCATGGAGTAGCTAAGGGGACATTCCCAAATTGCTAGTCTCAGTAATACACCTATTGTAATAAATAAGAATCAGTAATTGGGTCAGTGTGATTCCATCTCTAGATCACCATCCTGGGACTCATGAGCTCCCAGTTTACTCCCACCTCTACTCCTATTGTTTGTTCTTGTCTTTTTAGATCTCAGATCTTTTCATGTTGGATAGATGTTCACTATGTATTTGCACAGTGCTTAGTACAGCCAGGCTTTCCTAGATATACAAGAGCACTATCACCACATGATGGACTAGTGCTCTACAGAATAGCACCTGTCTCTCTGGGTGATAGACCAATTGGGCTGCAAAGTGAATTTAAAGAACTGATTCTCCATGGCATCTTTTTATTAATCTGGATACGGATTTTTTTTTCTTTTATTAATCTTTGTGGAATGAGTTTTATTTTGGTAGTCCCTTGGAAAAGTTCTCATTCACAGTGGTCAGGCATGCTTGTTGAATTACATTTGATACGAGTACAAATTAAATTTAACATGAACATCTTTATTATAGGGCTGATATTCTTACCCTGAAAAAAGTGAATCAATTAGCTAGAACTCTGCTCAAATTTTGTTTCAAGAATCTGAAACAAGTAGCAAAAGATCCCTTCAGCTGAGGTGCACTGCACTACGGACTCTGACGACTTCCCCAAAGAAAGTTGTAAAGTATAGTTTATACTCTGTGGGCATGTCCCCACAAGCCCACTTGTACGTGGTTGCACATTTCCTGTGGAACAAATAGCAGCAGTACAAATTTGTGCTACTACTGTTTGTCCCCAGGCATGCACCTGCACATGTAATCCAGTATGCAATAAAGGGCACGGGGTGGGGTAGGGAAGGCTAGGACAGCACATGCCTTACCTGGTGTTCTGGGGGCCTCCCAGGGCAGCAGCAGCACCAAGCCGGCCTCTCAGAGCCTGACTGGCATCCAGAGCATGGCTCTGGCTGGTCAGGCTCCAGTTTCTGGTGGCTCACACTGCTGTCACATGTGCTGTACCATGCCATGCCATGCTACACTGGATCTCCCAGTGTCAAAATCCTGCCACACTGCAAATTAGCAGCATGGTGCACAGGTGCAAGTGTGCCACATGTGGTTTGAGGTGCCTCAAATGGCTCTGCAGCATTGCAAACCACACACGTGCTCACAGGGATGCACCTTGTTATAGTAAAGGCCATGAGCCAGCATTGCATCTGCTGTAAACAGGTGCAAGCTCCATTGATTTCAATGGGATTTTCCCCCAGTGATAGCAGCTGAGAAACTGAGCCATGATGTATCCGTGGTACCCTTGCCATATGAATAATATACAAGGGACTGACAACAAGTGAAGAAGTGTCAGTACTAGAATGTGGGTCCTTAACTTTTACACGTGAATGGGGAGATGGAATAGAGGGTTCCCCATTACAGATTATATGGGCAGTCCTTGGATTTATGACAAGATACGGTTTTCAGGAACCAATTGTAAGTCAAAACGTTGTAACTTGGAACCAGTTTTCCCTCCCTCGCTGTGGGGGGCCTTGATCTGCCCCTCACACCCCTTCCTTTTCCCCTCCCCTTTGACCACAACAGACTTACCAGCTGGACACAGCTGTATCGAGCATCGTCAAGTCAAAACCCATGTCAGAACGTCAAAATAGGGTGTTAATTTATAAATGTCGTAAGTGCCATTTGTCGTAACTTGAAAAGTCATAAGTCAAGGAGTACCTGTATAGTGTCCAGCTCTTTACAGTTATTCAATCATGCAAACTGAGAAGAACCCCAGGGCATCAGCTGAACATGCACTGATGTAAAACTGTTGGAAAGGAAAACAGTAAGACCCCATGATGTAGTGTTTTTCCTATTGTCCTTACTTTATTGATTTGACTCATTTGATAGTCTAAAATAAGAATGCTTTGGGAATGCAGGTTTCTAAATCTTGTCTTTTGAAGAGATTGTGAATTACTCCCCCTTCCCCCCCCCCCTTATTTTTTTAATCTTAGGCACTTGCTGTTTTGTTGGGTTATTTTTTCCCTTTGGAAATATATTCCGGGCTACGTGAACCCTTTGGGATTTTTGTATGCTGCTGGAAAATAATATTCTGGCACTTTCATCCCTTGGGTTTCCTACAGATTTGCGTGTGTGATCTTAGTCATCTACTTGGTTGCCATTTAAGTAACCTGACACCCCTGCCCCCACAGTGGGAGAGAAAAATGTGACCTGTCTTCTCCATTATCTGCCTCCCCATAGGATCTGATCCTACATCTTTCCAAATCTTTTAAACAGAAAAATAAAAAAAGAGCAAAACAGTTTGGCACTTTCCACCCACCCAGCTGTCACTTCCCCTAACCATGCTGAAAAATCTGAACATTAGCTTCTGACATCTTAGTTTCTGTGCAGGTGCCAGGTAAATATGAAACTTGTACTGGACAACATGAGTGCTGCAGGCAAACTGAGGGAAGGAACCTCACTAAGGATTTATTACTGTCAGTCTCTGAAAAACAGTATTTTAAAACTATCAATTTGACTTCCGTTTACCAAACAGTGGGAAGAAATGGCTGCCCAACTACAGAAAGCTTCCTTTCTTGCTGCTGTGGTGTTTCTTTGATATAAAATGATGGCCCCCTGTGAGTGAAATCTTGGCTCCATTGTAGTTAATAGGAAAACTCCCATTGGACTAGCATTTTCAACCTTAAATTATCATCAAGTTGTAATCAGATCAGCATGAAACATGTTGCCTACCAGCATAAGAAGTCGATCAGGCTCTTTGCTTAGGTGAAGCTCCATTGACTCCACTGTGGCTTTATGAAGGCATGGAGATCTTTTTGCAAGAATCCAGGGCTCTATCGCAGAGTGCATCAGGCACAGGAACTGTTACAATGTTATAGAAAACCTGACATAATGAGGCTCACATCTCATTCAAAGTGCTAGTGAGTTAAACGATGATGATGATGATGATCACCCCACTGTTTTGCACTACGTTCACCTACAGGACTCCACCATATTGATCTGTTTGTTACCCTACACAAGCCATATTCCACATGCATCTCGATGGGGCTCAGATTTTTATAGGATCACCCTTTTCTTCTGTATCCAAGCATCTGTGGGGCTGAAAACATGTTTGTTACTAAGAATGTGAATGGTGCTGGTAGGTCTTGAAATGGATTAACTTTTGGAACGACCATCCTCTTTCTCTTCTGAAGATACGAGAAGCTGCCTTCTGACTGAGCTAATGATGCAAGTCCCAGTCCAGGTTATCCTTGGACAGGGCAGTAATACTTACGTGGTTAAGGTTAAAGTTAGCTGCAGAAGCAGCATTTTGGGCCACTTACACAGAT